GAGGGAAGGCAGAGACAGCCCTGACCCCCCCAGAGCCCCGGGATGGAGGGAAGGCAGCACCCACCAACGAGAAGGTGCCGGCTGCCACCGAGGCCCAGGATGGAGGGAAGGATGAGAAGGAAGAGCCTGGGAAGGTGAAGGCTCCAGCTGTGGGAGAGCCCAAAGGAGAGCAGGCAGCACCCGCAGCGGGGAAGGGTCCTGCTGTAGCAGAGGCTCAGGACAAAGGGAAGGATGAGGCCATGAAGGGACAAGCCCCTGATGGTAAAGCAGAGCTCATGGAGGAGAAGGCTCCAGTGGCAGCGGAGGCTGAAGGAGGGAAGGTAACACCTGCAGAGGAGACAACCTTGGCTGTAGCACAGGCTCAGGATGGAGGCAAAGGGGAGCCCACAAAGGAGAAGACCACAGCCTCTGTAAAGGAGAAGGTCTCAGTGGCTGCAAAGGCTCAGGATGGAGGGAAGAAAGCTGCAAAGGCAGAGAAAACCCCAGCTGATAAAAAGCCTGCAAAGGAGAAGGCTCCAGCTGCTGGGAAGGCCCAGGATGGAGAGAATAAAGTGGCAAAGGCAGAAAAAGCCCCAGCTACAAAAAAGGTTCAAGATGTAGGCAAAGAGGAGCCTGCGAAGGAGAAAAGCACAGCTCCAGTGAAGGAGGAAACCACAGCTCCTGTGAAGGAGAAGGGTCCAGCTGCTGCAGGGGTTCAGGATGAAGAGAAGGCAACAGCAAAGGCAGAGAAAGCCCCAGGTGCAAAGAAGGCTCAAGTAGGAGGTAAAGAGGAGCCTGCGAAGGAGAAAAGCACAGCTCCTGTGAAGGAGAAGGAGAAGGAGAAAAGCACAGCTCCTGTGAAGGAGAAGGAGGAGAAAAGCACAGCTCCTGTGAAGGAGAAGGAGAAGGAGAAAAGCACAGCTCCTGTGAAGGAGAAGGAGAAGGAGAAAAGCACAGCTCCTGTGAAGGAGAAGGAGAAGGAGAAAAGCACAGCTCCTGAGAAGGAGAAGGAGAAAAGCACAGCTCCTGTGAAGGAGAAGGAGAAAAGCACAGCTCCTGAGAAGGAGAAGGAGAAAAGCACAGCTCCTGAGAAGGAGAAGGAGAAAAGCACAGCTCCTGAGAAGGAGAAGGAGAAAAGCACAGCTCCTGAGAAGGAGAAGGAGAAAAGCACAGCTCCTGAGAAGGAGAAGGAGAAAAGCACAGCTCCTGAGAAGGAGAAGGAGAAAAGCACAGCTCCTGAGAAGGAGAAGGAGAAAAGCACAGCTCCTGAGAAGGAGAAGGAGAAAAGCACAGCTCCTGAGAAGGAGAAGGAGAAAAGCACAGCTCCTGAGAAGGAGAAGGAGAAAAGCACAGCTCCTGAGAAGGAGAAGGAGAAAAGCACAGCTCCTGAGAAGGAGAAGGAGAAAAGCACAGCTCCTGTGAAGGAGAAGGAGAAGGAGAAAAGCACAGCTCCTGTGAAGGAGAAGGCTCCAGCCACTGCAAAGGTTCAGGACGGAGAGAATAAAGTGGCAAAGGCAGAGAAAGCCCCAGCTGATAAAAAGCCTGTGAAGGGTCCTGCAGAAGAGAAAACCACAGCTCCTGCCAAGGGGAAGGTCCTGGCTGCTGCAAAGGCCCAGGATGGAGAGAAGAAGGGGACAAAGGCAGGAAAACCTGCGGCTGCATCGAAGGCGCAGGATGGAAGCAAAGAGGAGCCCGCAAAGGGGAAAACCACGGCGGCTGCCGAGGAGAAGAGCCTGGCTGCTGGGAAGGCTCGGGATGGAGGGAAGGAAGGTGCAGAGCTGGGACCCCCCGGAGCTGTGGCTGGGGCTGGAGGCCAGGGGCCCGCGGAGGCGGCAGCGGAGGCTCAGGGCGAAGGGGAGAAGGTGGCAAAGGTGGAGGAGACGGAGGAGCAGCAGCCGAGGGACCCCGACCCCCCACGCCCGGCTCTGCTGCAGAGCCTGAGCTGCCCGGCTGCCTGCCAGAGGTACCTGCACCCCCTGGGCTGGGGTCCCTGCACCCCCTGGGCTGGGGTCCCCGCACCCCCTGGGCTGGGGTCCCCTCGCTGCT